ACTCAGTTGTGCCGCTTGCTTCAAGCAGTGCTTTTCTGCATAACAGCGGGGCTTTGAGCACACACTGCATCTGACTCTCCTGCTTTGCGGCCCCAGGGTGATTGGACAGTCGGTAACTGTACAGGACAAGACTTGTGTCAATCTGTGGAGCAACTTGCTGGACAAGGTGTCGGAACGAGGCGATCGGTGAGTCTTTCAGACGGTCGAAATCGGCCTTGGTGACAAGCCTCGAATCGATCTCCAGGACGATCTCTGCAATGGATGGAGTTTTCACCTTGATCTTGGCTTTGGGGAGTTGGAACCGAACCGACCCTGACAGCACGATCATGTGGACAAGTCGTTTGTATGCCGTCTGGGCCTTGGTGTCATTCAAGGACACCTCAAAGGGGCCCTCGAGCCTCTTGGTGATGTGCGGCAATGCACCAGCATCGGTTGCTGGGATGAGGATGGCAAGATCAGCGCTGCCAACAATCTTGGAGATTTCAGCAAGGTGAGCTTTGGTGCTCAACACAATTCCCCCACGGCTAGGACCAAGCTGAAGACGGTGAGTCTGCGTCAGTGCAACATCGTCCTTGTTGATGAATGGTAGTGGCTCTTGAATCACCAGATCTTCCCACTTCGATTGGACCGGCCGTGCTTGTTTCTTTGTCCACGGATCTGCCGTGAGCCATGGATCAGCTTTTGCAGTGGATGATGCCTGTTTGGCAGCAACTTCAGCCTCCGATGGTTTGGCGCGGGCATCCGGCATTTCCTGATCTGTTTGTGTAGTTCCGGCGGCAACGGTGTGCAGTGGGAACCGTCCCTCCAGGATTCTGAGCAAAAACCAATTCCGAACATTGATGGTGAAGTCCAAAAATTCGGCGGGAATGTTGGCTCGAATCCACTCGAGGTTGGCTTCATTGCGTACCTGCTGGATATCGTCTGCAGCATCATGAGTCAATAGCATACGAATCTGCGGATCTCCCAAGGGTCCAACAGCCATGTTGAGACGTCGAAAGAGCCGAAATAGATTTGCAAACCCACACATTCCATCGGGATCTCGTTGTTCCATATAGTGGATCTGGAGACCGTTCTGGTCAATATTGGCAGTGCGGATCAGGAAACCAATCATCTGATGCACCAGATGACGCCACACAGGCGGAATTGTGAGAATCAGCTGACTGAAAGCATCACACACACACAGCTCAACAGTGATCCAATGATTCTGAGAAGCAATGAACCAAACGACATGTCGATGCGATTCATACACAGGATGAAGCCCGTTGAGGAACCGGAGTTGCCCACTCTGATGATCCCATTCAGCAGGAGGACAAAAGAGAGTGTGTGGTTCATAGAGCCGAAGAGTCTCGAGTGTGTAATCCAACTCATCTGACACAGCCCACCCTGGGTGCTGATGGTAGACCTGCAATCTGGCAGTAATGCGCTCGGACAAAGACTGCTGAGCAGGAGGCATCTGGATGATGGCACGATGTGGAGGCTCTGGAATCCCAACCACAAGTGCAGGTTGCTGAACTGGTTGGCCAATACTGTGTCGCCTTGCCAGAAACCACAGAAAATTCTTGCGGAGCCGGACAGCCAAGTACCCAAGTCGATGAGGCATCCCATTTGATGTCCAGTCCTCCATGGAACACTGTAGGCACATTTCAATTGTCTGCACATAGGAGTCCGGAAGAGGATACTGCCGAGAAACATCAGTGATTTCATCGAGAAGTTGTAAGTCTTCAAACCACCGTTGGAGCAAGGTCCATCCGCACAAATGTGGCACATAGCCGGGGAGCTCATGACGCACTTCAATCCGATGTGGAGCTATATCAAGCAACCGTGCGATGATGTGCGTAGCACGGGAAATGCAATCTTGCGGCATTTGAAGCATCACAACCTCGGCTCTATCTCCGTGACGATGGACTTCACACGCAGCCCAATGAGCTCGCAACAAGATCGGAATCACGGTAATGGAATTGTTGAATATGTGGATTTCAGTCCCATCATCCTCGAAATCTGGCTTCGATGGGTCCCAAAGGACCGGAGCTGCAAAGTGATGAGTTCGCTGACTCCACTGGATGGTCCGAGTCATGGCCATCATTTCGTCAGTGGCTAGCCACCCATTTGTGTTACACATGAATTCCGCTCGCTGATTGAAATTGGCTCCTTGAGCGAGTCTCGGGGGGGGCCATTGGCCTCATGGTGGCCTCCTGCATGAGTCAGAGTCTTCGCCGTCAAAGAGATCACCTGGTCCATCGGCCAAGTATGGACTGTGATTGGGTCACTGGCCTCAAGGATTTGATCGGCATGCTTGAAAATGATGCTGTTGGGGCAAGCAACATCTATCTGCACCAGATGAAATGTCCCTGCATCGGCGAGGTACACAACACGCTTGTCTTGCATGTCTGATGGAATCACAAGGTGGGTGCAGTGGTTGCCACCAGTGTGAAACCCACACGATGGGAAAATCTTGCCTCCAATCTGTGATTGAATCCACCTCGCAGTCTTCTGAATCTCATCCATTGTACCCCAACATTGAAAGTGGAATCCAATATCCGCTTGCAAAATCACCAGAGAAGCAGCCTGATTGCCACTGTCCATCCGAAGATCTTTGCAGAGATCAGAAACTGTGCGAAACCATTTGCTGTGTGCAATGAGGTCAAACTCAGGTGGGTGATTGATGTGCACAATCTGCTCAGCTTCAAATGGCATTGTCGGAGAGATCTCGATGACCTTAGTGGAGTCAAGACGGGTGAATTTACACCGGCCGATGCACACAGAAGCAAGAACAAGCTCCCAATCTTGCTCCTGCATGGCGAGGAGGCCTACCGGCATGGTCATGCTTGATTTGGCATCTAATGCTCGAAAATAGACTTGCTTGACGAGTTCATGAGGACCATGGAAATGCTGCAGCATGAAATCAAAGGCTAGCATCTCTGCAGTGGCAAATAGGCAAAAGTCCACAGCCTGGAGATTCCCCTCACAGCAGAAAGCATGCTCCTGAGACTGATGCATTTTGCACTCAACAGAAATCCATTCGTGGGCATCTGATGCTCGGATCATATGGACATATCCTTGGTGTTCGAACATGACGGAGTTGTGAGCTTGGCATCGGGTCACCCAACTTTTTCGAACCAAATGCAGCGGATCAAATGACATCTGGCCAACAGCATGCATGACAACTCCTAACGAAAGGACAGCATGAGGGATAGCGATAGCATTCCCAACAATTCGGAAAGCCTCGGGAACCTTAGTTGGCAGGACAATGTGTGACTGCGTTCCAAAAAGGGTGCAAAACTGTCCAGGATCGAAAAACTCAAAACCCGCAGCAGTCTTCCTCAAGAAGGTGAAAAGGCCACGCAACTGGATGTGTCTGTTCGAAAGAAGGTGTTGGGTGGTGTACGATGCACACAATGTCGGAAGGGGTTGATCCGTGGCAGGAACCCTTTCCCACAATGTTCGGTTAGCAGCTGAGCACTCATTCACATTCTTGGTTTTCCCTGAGCGGGGCAAGAAGTTGGGGTCGTTGTAAATGGCACACTCCGATGCAGTTAAAATGAGCTGCGGTCGCCACACCTGAGGCACACTGAGATGATTTGACGGGTCATCCCACGGGCAACGAGGAGAGTGTCTCAACGGAAATGTGAATCCAACGAACTGGGCGTCTGTGTCAAATCGGCACCATGCAGCAAGCCATCGAGTTCGACAATGGTGTGACATGTTATGCAACGGGGTCACTTGCATCCAGACCTTCTTGTAACCTAGAATTTGAAAGAGCATTTCGACCAATCGAAAGTGGTCATGCTCCACAATTTCGTCTGCGCACTCGGCGACTATACACACAGGCTGAAGTACCATTGCCAACTGGATGGCATCCACAAAAGACCACCCATTCAAGTCAGCCAGGCCAAGGTGTTTGCCACCTTTAGACCACGATTGACAAGGCGGAGACATGGAAAGGCGCAAGTTTGTCTGTACACGAATCACGTTCGCGAGTGTCCAATCAGCCACGGAACCATGCAAGCCCACATGTCGTTGTGAGGGCCATGGTGTGGACCAATGGATGGGACACTTCAGGGGCATCAAGCTGTGTTTCACACTCCACAGCTGCATCACTTGTTCGTCGATGTCAAGCTCAAACTCCTGGCCTAAACAAAAAGCAGCTTCGGTTCGATCCAGGAAATCCGCAGCTTGAGCCCATCCTGAGAAAGCCCCAGAGAAGCTGTGAAACATGTTCCAAGGCATGAGCCTGTCAAACTCTGAACGGAACGTGATGATGGCGTCGTCCTCAAACTCAATGAACTCAGGCTGACTACAGGCTGGAGTTCCTGCACAAAGGATATGCACACCTGTGGATAGGCTGATGGATCGAGCAGCCAAATGTGGCACTTTCACAGTCATCTTCGTGTCCAGAGAAATCCCACGGTCAAACCCAACGGAGGGCTTGAATGGAAAAATCCCAATTGTCACCATGTCACCCACAACTAGGTCAACCTCCCCAGCAACAAGGATGCGAGAGCCAAGCGACAGCGTTGGTCCAGACCCAGCAATGCCAGAAAAGATTGACTTCACATCGGCTCTCAACGGATCATTAAGGATGCTATCTGCCAGTGTCACAGCATCATCACCCGCCATGGCACAAGAACCCAAAACGGATCAAAGGAACGAAAGGTCAAACGTCCAAGGGTGGGGTGCTTGTGGGCACTCCCTTGTGGACACCGACCCACACCTTGGGGGTGCGCTACCGGCCCCGGACACCCGTGTGCCCCAGCCTTTGGGGCAGTTTGAACCCCAGCGGCTTTTTACAATATTTTACATAATGTTACTATTTTACAGAAATGCCCTGCGAATGAGCCATCATCACCCACTGATTGCTAGTAACGGGATATACTCAAGATATATGGTCTTTTGTTTGGGAGGGGATCTCATTCCTTTTTTCAGGGCTGGCTCCTGGCTTGATCTTCCATCTTTTGGACTGACTTGCACCGGACTCATTGTCCTCGTCGTGCGATTTCCAGGACTTAGAGGATGACTATGCACCTCGGAACCACGCGAGCGGATGACGGGGGTAGGGAGTGGGAGGTGCGGTGGGACGTCCCGAAAGATCGAAGTAGCGTTGGACCAGGTCGACACAGGGATGTGACATGTGACATGTGAAAAAACAGCCGGAGGGGTAAGGGGGAGTGAGACAGAGGGGTAGGGAAGTTTCATAGGGGTATGGTCGGTAGAGTGGTCAATTTCCCTTCTTCCACGAACTAGTAGGTCTTTCCTAATTGAATACACAGCCAATCACAGTGCAAAAAATTAGTGCATCGGGATACCAACTGGGTTTACCTGCAGGCTGCACCCCAGCAATGCACACCTGGAGTAGTTTCCTACTCAGGTTCAAAGCACCCACACCTGGATCAACTGACATCAACTGACATGGCGTTGGATCAAAACTGCATGCACTGGCGCCCGCAAGTCATTGTAGTCTGGGACTCGCCCATGAAGGTCTGCGTGATGGAGGCAGCAGGCCGGCCCCGGCCGTGCAGACGGAGTAAGTCGCCATCCAAATCAGAAACACTCCGTGCTGTGCGTTCCAGAGCAGTTCGCCATCGTCTGGATGCCAGAGCCAGTACCCATGAACAGGTGATCGCTTTTGCAGAACAATTGCCTCGTCAGTTAGGTGCTTTGCCAGAGCCGGTAATGATACTTTACAGTACGATGTTTGCATACATGTTGACAACTTTGCATACACATGTGCAAAAACTTTCCCTACCAAGCCAGTTCCTCCAAGCCAGTTGATGCATTTTCTTGCAAAAGTGAGGCCCACACCTGTGGGTGCAACAGCCGACAATTTGAGGGAGTGGTTGGCTTCGCAAAGCATCCATGGTAAGCTGATTCGAGCGAAGGGAACCAAATCCATAAATCGTGGTGAACTCAAGCTAGCAACCTGGGTCTCGCAGTTTGTCTCAGATCAAGACCCCAAACCCTTTGTTGATCTCTGTAAAACACACAATGTGGCTCATAATGATTTGATTCATATCCTGTAAAATCGTTTCTAAATGTCCAGAAAAGAGAAAGGTGTACTCACATCGGACGAATAGTGCTAGTGAAGCGAAAGGTATTTCCTGCTATCCTGGGAAATACTCTGCCAAATCCGTCCGGCAGTATCAGTGTCAGTAACCGTCAAGTGTAGAAGCTGTCCTTCTAGTTCACAAGTATCTGGAGATTTGAGCAAATCCGCACGAAGATTCCATGTCTACAATTTGGTTTTGGACAATTTTGCCGATTTCCAAACCAAATTGATGCAACGGCATCCCTTTTGGGCTTTGGATGCACAATCCCCTCCTATTGTAGCCAAGGCATGCTCTTCCGGGGCACAGATCGCACACTGTGTCTGGCAATTCTACTATCAATCTTTAGAATGGAGACACCCAGACCTCCCTGCACAGGCTGGCGATTATGGTATTACCTGGTACGAGTTGGCCGTTCACTCTTTCTTATTCGCAGGATTTCGACCAAAAAGCTTGCCTTCCCCTATGATTTCGATTTACCTGGAGTAGCCCTTCAGAAGCCAGAGGTTAAGAGTCTTTGGCATCAGGCTTCAAATCTCTCGAGCCATGGTAAAAAACATGGCCTGCCATACATTTTTTTTGTCGGATTCCTCATCACAACAATCGCCTACCATACATGTTCTCTTGGATTCCTCATCACAGGAAGGCCTGTCATACTAGTACCCATGAACAAGTTCGATTTCCCATCATCTTCGACTTCAACGATCAATCCATGATTGAAAAAGCCTGTCGTCCTCAGAGACCTGGACGTCGTCCTCAGAGACACAACCGAGTGCATTCGTCCAAAGGAATCCAACAGTCGCTGAACACACTGTGACTGATGGCTGGCTGGTTCTTAGTTCTTCTGAATGCCTTTTATTTTTTGCCTTTTCGTTTCTTGTAAAGCTAAGCCTTAAACAACCGGTTTCAGGGTTCACACTGTGGAAACAATTCGTTGGCATGTTTTGCTTTTAACTACCAACAGAGGTTGAAGAACCCTATAGACTCTCCCATAAGTAGCTACTATCTAGCCCGCAGGATAGTTCACGCGTCGCATTTGGTTCCGATTTCTAGGGAATCAGCGCTGCCGACCGCGCGTGGTTCGTCGACCTTGGTCGACCCGAGGAGAAGCATCAGAAGAAGAAGACTCTCACAAGCCGTGAGATTCGTATCCGATGCTTGGCAAGCATACCGCTACGTGTGCTTAGGCCATCAACATCCATGAACCATACCACGAACCTGATTGACCCCTGGAGCTGACAGCCCAAACATGGTGGGTGTTTTTCCTATCAAAACGAGATCAAACGGGTTCTAGGTAACGACTTGAGTTGGAAAAACAAGGTTCGTGTGGATGGAAGATAGGCTTTTGTTTGGTCAAGAAGTCACCTGACCCCGTTCGCCACGATTCGATCGAGAGTAGGCGAGGAGTAGACGAGGAGACGAGCGAGACAGACGCAATGGTTTGCAAGTGGTTGATTTGGAAGATGGTTTGTTGGTTTTGATCACCATAGGCAAGCGCAAATGTTTTTTTGTTTGAAACTTATTTTGTTTTCATGGTTGGTTGGTTTTTGATCCAGACCTTCAGGTGAAAGCAAGTAGCTTCATAGTGCTTCACATGTCACATCGCGGTCCTATTTGATCGATTCGAAAAAGACCTTAAATTTTCTGGATGGCAGGCCTTGGTTCATCAGTGAAGAGGAAACTGCAGAGAAATTCTTGAGGTTGCAACCCCTCTTTGAATGTTCACCTTGGGCCCAACCCAACATCTCTGGTTCCTTTGCTTTCAATATCGCACTGCCCAACCTTCCAAAAGTTCACGCCTGCAACATCACTTTCCTCCCTCCAAAGAAGACAACTGTGTTTTGCCATCTCGTTGTAAACAACCTCTTCCAATCTACTCCATCTAAGTACTCTGACAAACACCCCCCCCCTCTTACCAGAAAACGCCAGCGAGAATTCCCATCCCATGACGTTCATTTCTTCTGTGCCGAGGCTACCTGCCACAGCCAAAGATGGAGGAACCCAGCCGCGAGGTCAAGCCCTTGACCGCTGGTTTGAAGGGTCCTTTGAAGACCGAGAAGTACAAGGCCTGCCCCGCTTACTGCGGCTTCGCTTACTCCGCCTACACCACCGTCGGACGCCGTGCACATCCGTGCCTACACGTCACCAGGGTCTGGATGTTTTTGGAGGTGATTTGAGGGATTGTCAATGGCCTTTGCCCAGACACGACCCTGGACCCTAGAGGTCTGGGGTTTCTCACCAATCCTCGGTTTTGAGGGACCTGTCGAGCCTTTCAAACGACTCCAATGCTCCACAACCCGAACTCTACTCGCAGCTTTCCCGCCCGCAGTGACCGCCCGCTCATGCCTTAGCTCAATCCATCCGCGACCGTGGCAGGATCACCAGCTCTGGGTCTTCTCGGGCTGCCAAGATGACCAAACCAGTGCGGATGCACACGTGGAAGGCATCTACCAAGGCGCCTTTACCTGGGCGCTGCTGAAAGCATTGAGTCTTGGACTGCACAGCGACGAGCGCGGGGAGTCGATCGGTGTTCGAGTGATTCGGTCGTGATTTTACTGCGAGTAGATAGATGCGAGTAATTTAGTAGTTGTTGAGGTGTGGCTGGGAGGTGCAAGGAATAGAGATGTTGTAGTTGTTACCTAGACGTACTAACAGTTAGCAACCTAGCCTAACAGTTACCAGGATGAGATTTGTAGACGCTCTTTTTCTTGGAAGGTTGAATGAAGTCCATTGAAAACAAATCGTTTCTATCACATGACAGATCATTGAAGTATTTGTCAAGAGGGACTTGGCAAGGAAGACGTTTCTGGAAGACCTTCCATGGCGTTTTTTCTTCGGGGAAACCCACATGACTGGGGCGCTGAATCTACCGGTCTCCGGTGTGTGTGGACCTTTGGAGCCTGAAGAAACAGCGGATTTTGCTTGAGGGGATGGTACCTAAGTAAGAAGGATTGGCACATTATCATTGCCAGCTGTGTATCCAGAAGGATGGTACAGGCATGATGATATGGCCAGTCATGAGACAAGCATGAAGCATGCATGATGAAGGCAGGTCGGCGTCGGGAGTTCTTAGCGACTCGACGTGTCGACGTGTGGATCCCAAACGTCGGGAGTCATCATTCCATGTTGAGAATGTCCGTGATCCATGACCCATGGCGACATCATGAGCTCTGCACTCCTTGCTTCTCAGGAAGGAGGACAGCTGGAAGGCTGGGCGTTTGCGAAGTGACGGATGCGGAAACATACGGGCGTTTGGAGGAACAAGAAGAGAACACCATCTTCAAGACAGAGTCCTGGAGATGCTAGGAGACTATAGGGACCTTAAAATGGACAGACCATGTGAATCCCCATCAAAATGTGCTTTGTTTTTTCATGTTTTATATATCATAACCATGGAAGACAGCTGCTGTAGTTTAGACTTTCCAAATCTTAGCTCACCTCTGGTACTGTGGTGCAAATACCCCGAGAAACACATTTGGGGACTTTCACTTGTCTTTTACACTTAGAGATTCAGAGATCACCAAAAAGAGTGAGTGTTATATAACATACTATAACATATATATACATATTTATAGAGTTACACTGTCACACTCCCACGAACCGTCACGAACGCATCACATGGAAGTGGATGAAAGCCCACTGGTCACTACGGGACCAGCCAGCCATCCACTTTCCTGTGACGTGTTTGTCCGAGTGTCGCTGCTCAGAGCGACGACGGAGAGGAGAGCAACGGAGATCGGAGGAGAAATGGAACTGAAACCCCTCCAGCATTGAGTGAGTATATTGAGATATATTGAGTGCTGTTACTCACCAGTCTTCTGGGGGCTTTGGTTCGCCCTCTTCTTCTGAGCCGGTCTGAGCCGGTCGCCATGCACGACCACTCGGCCACGCGCCGACCAGTCATGCTCCGTTCTCACCCGTCCAATCCGAGTGAAAGGGCGGAGGAGTCGCACGAAGCAACGCATCGGCGAGTGAGTGATCCACGGATCCACGCGAGCGACGCCGGACGGGCGAGACTTTGTGGGTCAATCAGAACCAAAGGCAGTAGTGATCAATGGATCCCAAACACGACCTGTCTGAAGCTGGAATCTTGACTACATTGACCCCTGAAACCATGGAGGATCTGGGTATTTAAGGTTTTTGATGTGTTCAGCTCGGTGCTGCGTCGACACCAATCACAGGAGAGCTACCGGAACTTGTTGATCCAGCTCAAGGCGAACCTGGAAATGGGCCGCTACCGCCAGGCCGTTCGAGCTGAGACGACCGGCGTTCGTGTCGGAGCGCCGCGGTGGACGTCGAGCTGAGCTTCTCGTCTCGCTTTTTGAGGTGCTTAGTCAGGCCTGGAAGGTTTCCTTAAGAGGTGCCTTTGTACTTGAAACGGTCTCATATTATAGTGACGGTTGATGAATCTAACCCCTCAGGCTTGGAGAGGTTTTAGCATTCATAGGAAGGATTTTATTAATCAACAGTGAACATCAGCCACTACCAGGCCAGACAGATGTTCAAAGCACCGTTGGGACGAAGCTATGGCACCGGGCTACAGGTGCCTGCGCTCTCCACCACCCACGAGCTGTACTTGGACTACGGCTTCTGCGGCAAGATGAAGAGTGATGGCTGCGTGATTGAGGGCATCACAGCATAGGGGGCAAAAAGATTGATCATAGCACCATAGAGAACTTCTTCGAACGAGCTTGCAGCGTTTCTTTTTACTTGACGTAACAAGGGAAAGAAGGTTGAATCAAGTGAAGCTGCGAGTCTTGTTTGGATGTAGGTTGTCTAGGGTCTTATGACACAAGGCCTTGCAAACCTGGATTTGCTCTTCATATATCTTCATATTATATACTTTCCTCATATAGAGGCTTCATTCGAAGCAGGTCAGTTCAGGTGCTGTTTCAAATATACTTCAAGGTAGCGAATCCGGGTAAAGGGCCAAATCAGCCTTTGCACAGCGTTGGGCGGCATGTCTTGCAACCAAGTGACCCATCTGAAAGGATGGGTGCTTTGTCCCATCCAGAGGCAGCTGGTTCTTTTGCACATAGAGTTGGCAGCTTGGCAGATTGCCATGTGCCGGCGAGAGCAGTGCACTGTACCTGACATCCTCCCCGAACAGGGGTCCAAAGCAGAGAAAAGGTGAGAACATTTGGAGAACTTGCTGTGATACATTGGAAAAAACTACGGATCCAACTCTTGCTGGCCATATATAATATAAGTATATAATACACGATGAGAAATCCACTGGTTTGGACCAGGGACCAAACATCATGGTTCCAACTCGCTTGAACAGCCCTGGTGGAGCAGCTAGGCTAGCATCAGAATGACAACCCACAGGCAATATCAGAAGTACTCAAGCGACTCCTGAAACCTGTCAGTCTTCCCTTGAATTGAATTGGCCAAATGCTGAATGGAAAGACCTTAGTGTGGGTACTTGAACGAGAAGCACCTAGTAAGGGGATGTCAATCATACTCACCTAGATTGTGCATGTTGCTTAGGTCATCCTACATAGAATCAACTTTTCATCCCTGTTTCATGAGAAGAGTTGTCATCCCGGTTTCCTGTCGTCCCGCCAGTACGCCAGTACACACACTGAGACCTCCGGGCGTTGTATGGAACCACGAAGTTCTCATTTGCGTCGTCGACCCATGTGGGCGATTGGAGAGTCTTGCTTAGGTCTCCGTATGTGGCGATCTGGTTTGGTCTATCGGCTATCGGGCGAGAGCAAACGCGCCACCCAACTGATCTTTTCATTCATGTAACAAGATCATAGCAAAAGCGCATCAACAACACCACGGAGAGCTTGTCAAAGTCAACAAGATCCATTTTCGCCACCGTAGATTCTCAAGAAATCCACTCAAACCACCGGTCGCACCCGTCCCAACAAACCCGAACCTCGTCGGAGAAACGTCGGGTTTCGTTCCGAGACGTGCGCGGATGCCCCGGAACAGACCGGAACAGACCGGGCGGGGCTGGACGCGGATGCTGTTTGTGTTTGTTGCTACAACCCGGTAGTAAGACAATCAGATGCTGGGGCATCGCGGCGAGCGTCGCGCCGCCACACGCCAGGAGCTCCAACGGCAGACAGCGCAGTTGATGCAGCGGTCCCTAGAGTTGGAGACTCGGCGTAAAAAGCGGAGGAGAGGGTGGGTTTAGGGCTCCAGTCGTACCTTCTGAGGTTCGGTGGGACTGGGGTGGGTGCCATGTGCGGTTCCAATCACACCGAACCTGAGGAGGTACGACTGGAGCCCTAGGGGTGGGTTTTTTTCCCCCCCCCCC